CGATCGAGTGAACCGGAGCTTTGTCAATGTTCTAATTTTTGAATGTTGCGTTATGCATACTGTAAGTTGTAAACGAAAGTTCGATTCTTCAACAGATTAATATTTGGATGAGATCTCTTTTGAGGTGAGTACTAGTTTAACCAGTATTTCAACCAGTACCGAACAGGTTCGAAAACAGTATTGTCATTTAAAATTATTGGAAGCAATTCACTGTTCATTTCTCTTTCTTTGAGATACACAGCTAACCAATAACTCCGTGTAGCCAGTTTCTCCGACATTAAGAATAGAGTGTGCTTTTGGTATATACATTGCAGGTACTATATACGTAATGATATGTAAATTATAGATATATAATATACCCATAGAATTACGAAATTTCTTTACGGCGAACAGCGTAAATTTGTACTTATTATTTATTTTACGAATATAAAGTTTTTTTGATTGCCGTCTGAGCGTTCGCTTCATAAGTAGCAAACTCCAAGCTATACAGCAATAGGAGTCGCATTCAAATGCAAGGCTGAGTCGCCTTCCGCAACCTCCCACCTGTGTTTGTGTTTACTGTGATCAAAACTTAGGAGCCACTGGCATAGGCAGATCATTCCGTCTCAATGGATGAAGATCTACTGAAATTTATACGCATTCAACGCGAGTGTTTGAGATCAGAAGTCTTTCTGGCAGAAAATCATTTGATAGGCACATTCTAGGCACATTTTACTGCGTGTCAAAAGGTCTTCTGTGTAAAAGGCTTCTGGTTTAAATGAAAATCATTCAAGTTTCAATTCTGTTGGAACTGTACACATTGGCCACAGACGCGATGGTTGAAAACAAAGTACTTGTTACACTTCTTTAAAGTAGAGCTGCTTGTGACAAGAAACATGCCCTTTGCCACCGCAGTTAACGATGACTAAGACACATCTGAGATACCATTTCAAATGACAATGAGTCACAAATTTTGTCAATTCAGCCATGCAGATTTCCTTTGCCTCTCGAGAGTATTATATCCCGATTAGAACAAAAACAGTTTTTGCCTTAGGTTGCCTGTTG